ACACACACACACACGTTGTTTAGTTAATTCAAAAAGGAGAAAACTGTTTACTGATGGTCTTTGTCTTAATGATGATCCGCAATATGTTCTTTTGACAGGTTGGTCATGATGTTGACCATTTCACATCGCCAGAAGGAATACCTGGCGTTCCAGAAACAAATTTCAATGGTCGTCCAAATTCTTTCAAAGTGCTGTCTCCTGCACGCACATGTGTGGTACGGGTTCTTGCTGGGGCCTGCATTTTAACGTGGTTTTGTTCATTGATTATTTGAATGCATACTGGTATTTCCCGAAAGATCTTAGTGTGCATACGTTAGTATTGATTACCATAACTATCAGCAGTTTAGACTGAACACTAATCTGAAAGGTATAAAGACCCATAATCAGATCTGCCTTTGGCATCTACGCTACAAAATAATTCCAAATTCTTCTCTGTTTCCCTTGTCCCCATAACACATGCATGTAGCTTCGGCGTACATACAAATTAGGTGAGTGATTAAAATTGAAGTTGATGGGAACTGAAAACTGCCCTTTGGTAAAAGTAGGAATAGCCATAATCATGTCCACCTTTGGCATATGCGATATATACAATAAATTCCGAAATCTTTTCTGTTTTTATTTCCCCCCATGACTCTTGCATGTCACTTGCTATCATATGAAAATTAGGTATAAGGATCAATTGAAGTGGATGGGAACTGAAAATGAGGAACCTTGTTTATGATGACAGTGTCATGTCTTGCAAAGTAAAAAAATCTACTGTTCTGTGTGGTGCTTTGTGTTTAGAATAGGTCAATATAAAATTTCTTTATCTAATAGAAAATTCTTTTGTTATTTAAATGGTGAAGCAACTGAACCTCGTCTTTCTTTTTGTTTTTCTGCTTCTTTTTCACTTTGTTTGAGAAGGCTTATTACAGAGTTGAAGAAAGCATAGCAGAAACCGAAGATGACCAGACAGCCATTTCTAGTGAGCTGCCAACAGCCAATATCGAGGAGAGTGACGATATACTTAAAGATTCACCATCTGTAAATATCACAGATGCTGGTCAAATCGACTTAGTTTCTATTGAGGAGAGCAATGAGGAACTTAAGGATTCAACATCTGTAAACATTAGTGATGTTGTTCAAACTGACAGAGATGATTCGTATGCAAACGTCTGGGATGATGACCAGTCAGATGATTGACCGATGTTCTACGTTGGTGATCTGTCAGCATATGATGTTTTCAGGGTGGTAGCGTCGACTAATGTTATCATAGTTTTTTCTTGTTTATAGTATTTTCTCTACACATATTGGCTTCATATTGGCATCTGATCGTTGTACTGGTTGTAAATAGAAGAAATGCATTTGCATGGGTGTGTTTCTTCGAAATCTCCCCAGTTTTGGGTGCTTTGCCTTTGGAGCCAAGACTCAATTTGTTCCTAGTGCTAGCACTTCTTATGTTACTGGTTGAGTATATTGTAATAAAAAAACTGATATATATATATATATCAATTCGGTATTACTGTTAATTAAGTTGCTTTCAGAATTATATTATACTTGTTCTCCATTTTTTTATCTCAAAGTTGAATTTCTGTCGAGCTCAATGGTAATATACCATTTACGAGATCAACAGACAATTAAAAAGACCGACCCAAGAGTTCTAAGTTGGGGCCTGAATTGGTATTTCATTTCGATTTTCTTTTTATTTGAAAAATTAAAATGAGTATGGTATTATTTTGATTTACTTTTGAGTTTGTTTTGTGAGGATCGATTTGCTTTGTTTTGCTCCTCTATTTTGTTATGTGAAAATTTAATAAACATAATGTTTTGCTATCTTTCTTGAAGAATATATGCCGCTGCATTTACTTCTCCTTTTATGCCAAAGTTTGCCAAAGTTTTTTTTGAAAGCTTCAGGTGTTTGTTTCGAAATTTTTTAAAAAAAAAAAAAAACTAAGAAATGTCTCAATGATCTTTTTAAAACATTTCCAACCCAAATTCCATCGCAATTTTGATATTTTCTTTTCTTACTTTGTGTTGTTATAGTTGCTCATCGGTCGGTTCGGTTCGGTTTTGAACATTATCGGTTTTGCCTATCGGTTATCGGTTTACAAATATCATAGCCCTATAACCAAACCGATAAGATATTGGTTATCGGTTAATCGGTTATATATCGTTATCGGTTCGGTTATCGGTTTACCCGATAAGATAAAGCAACTAAAAAAATTTGCAATATATAAAACAAAGAAATCAAACTGCCAGAACGTGTAAACTGCCAACTTTTGTTGTTTCTTAACAAAAGCACGCTCCCACTTCTGTGCAGTATCTACTGATGTCTGGCGGAGAACTGGTGGTGAGTCTTGCGTCTTGACTCTTGGGGGCTGCGACGGAAACAAGAATGAGAACTGAGAGACAAACGACTGAAGACTGAAGAGTGAAGAGGGAATTAGGAAAATAAATAACCCTAGTATATACTTAAGGGTAAATTAGTAAATTACATCATTCTTATTGGGTTATCGGTTTTTACCCAATAACAAAAATGCAAACCGAGCCCGAACCGATAACCCAATAAAAAAAAAATTTTAACCCGTTACCGAACCGTTAACCCAATAACCCAATACCGATAACCCAATAAAGAATTAACGGTTCGGGTTATCGGTTTTACCCGATATATGCCCACCCCTAGTAGCTTATTCATTTTTTTTTAAATAAGATTGTCCTCGTTTCTTTGATACACTCTGTAGAATATATATTTTGTTACTCAATTTATAAGATATCAAATCTCAAACTTTATATTTATCGTATAAAAAAAGAAAAAAGAGTACGATGGACCATGCACTATATATTAATAAAATTATTCGAGATATGAATATAAAATTAATCATCAATTTGGATAACAAAAGCTAATAAGGGCATCAAGCCATCAACCATAAGGGGAAAAAAAAGAAAAGAAGAAACCGAATTACAAAGAATTGACACAAAAATGCTATAATAAGAAACTTGACAACACATTATGCCGAAAAACATTTTAAAAAATATTGCTATTGGGTCTTTTTTAATTTAATTCCCAGCTACTAATTACTTATTTTACTAATATAATTGTTAATGATTTAGATGAATTTGGTGGCCCGATTTGGAACTCTCGGGTCGGTTTTTGCTAATATTGGGTTGATATAGTAAATGGTACTATTAGCATTGATTGATCTGAAAGAATTACAATCAAAAAATGGAGCAGAAGAAGAACAAGTACAGTATAATTGTACCCACCTACAACGAACGCCTCAACATTGCTCTCGTCATTTACCTCGTCTTTAAGCATCTCCCGTAATCACTTCTTCTTCGTTTTATCTTTCTCTATTTGCTATATCTTTTTTTGTGATCGCTTATATTGGAGTTTATAATTTTTGAATTTTTTTGCTTATATTTATCCCCAAAATGGGTTTTGTGATCCAGTTCATGTATGTCAAAAAAGATTTTTTCCCCCCTTCTAGTTCGATCTTCTAGAAGCAATTTAAATTTGGTAATGAATTGCTGTTGTGTAAAGGAAATTAATTCAAATTGTGTAAATTTATCACTTTTAAGGTGGTTTATGTAATATCCGATCAGTGACGTATTCGATTAACCTATGATCCAACTATATTTGGGTTCATAATGGTTTGTTGAAATTTTAGGTATATGATCAGCCGTCAGGAATATTTGTATTAGCTCGTTTTAGCGGAATGTAGCATGGATGATTGGGGGTTTTGGCAAAAGATTGTAACTTTGAGCATGTTAATTGATTGGTAAGTAGGAAAAAAATTTGGCTTGCAATCTGATTTGTTCGGAGGGTTGTTGGCACTTATCACTTATCAGGAGTTAATTTTGGAGGCGCTCCGCAAAGTATTTAACAGTTCTTGGACGCATTGTACACTATTTCAGTTATTTTCATTTAGCTTCTGTCTTTCACATCCTTACCATTTTGTCATGTTTGTTTGCTCATTGTTAAGAATGTTGATACTTATCCACGAGACAATGGATTTTGGCCAAGAAGACTTTACTATAGAGATTGATTTATCTAGATGTCGCAATCCTGTTTACCGCATCACATTTGGTTGTTTATAATGACGCAAAAAGTTCTGGCCATATTCACGACATTGTTTAGTGGCTTTGAGGGAGATGATCCCATTTTTTGAGGACCAGAAGTCACCTTTTCATTGTATTTGAATGATATCTCACTGTTGATTTCTTTCTAGCAGTACTTGGAGGTGATAAAATCATGTAAAAGTTATAAGCAGACTCTTATAGTAAGTTTTTCTTCCTGACTCAGGGATGTTGATTTCGAAATAATTGTAGTGGATGATGGAAGTCCAGATGGCACACAGGATATTGTCAAACAATTGCAGAAAGTATATGGAGAAGATCATATTGTTAGTAGTTCCTTGCTTCACCCAGTTGTTGCACATTATGCTTCCCTGCTTATACCTACTTATCATCTCATTTTGCTCATTTCTCTTGTTGACTACAGTTATTGAGACCTCGAGCTCGGAAACTTGGTTTAGGTACTTCTGCTTTAAGATGATAACCTTGAATTATTTTGATAAGAAGATGATAACCATGAATTATTCTCTGACGTTCCTCTTATCTTAGGCACTGCATATATTCATGGTTTGAAGCATGCCTCAGGCAATTTTGTTGTCATTATGGATGCGGATCTTTCTCACCATGTAAGTATGATTGAAGATAAGGGCTTTGTTTGGTTTCCTTTTATATTTTCTCTTTTTGTTGTTGTTGGAAAAGGTCCTTTATCTGTTTGTTTGAACATCAATTTTTTTTGTTGGAAAAGGGACAGAAGGGGGATATGTGGAGTATAGTTAGTCTGTTTTTGCTTGATGTCATGGAAAGAAACAATTCAATAGCTCTGGTAGTTCACAGATCATCCACTGTTTTGAGTGTGTATATCGAATAATTTAAATTTTATTTTGTGGATTAAGAGTTATTTTTCATGCCCTCTCATTTTTCACATACCTTGTCTGTGCCTGCTCTGCATTACTTCTGGTCAGGGGCGGATTTAGGGGGGCGGGTGAACCCCCTTCGCCAAAAAATTACACTGTATATGTATGGCAAAATCTGTTTTTTACCTCTATATATTAAGTTTTGAACCCCCTTAACACAACCCAAAAGTGTAGCTTAGTGGTCAAGGGAGTTCAAAACTTCCTAAGGTCATAGGTTCAATTCCCACTAGCTACAATTTTTTTTTAACCCCCTTCGTGGAGATCCTGCCTCCGCCACTGCTTCTGGTATACTTTCCCCCACATATACCACCCCTCAAAAATAAAAGAAAGGGACAACTGAGACGTTGTAGTGTAGGAAAACAAATATGAGTGAGCTTTCTGAATTTAATTATGTGACCCCATTGATAAGTCTGGCTCTCCACTAGACCGGGATTCTCCTTTTCTCTTCTTTTTTCCCCCTCATTTCTCCTTTTTTCCTTTTTCTA